CCAATGGTATCAATGTGGATTTCACAAGCTTCAAAATCTCCCCTCCCCCTACCGCATCCCAAAACCAGTCCAGCTCGTCCCCGCCTCCCTAACCTGTTCTTCCTCCCACCTATCCCCTCCTCCCACCTCAAGCCGCACCCCCATCTCCTACCGACTAACCTCATCCCGCCCCCTTGACCTGTCCGTCCTCCCTGGACTGACCTATCCCCTCCCTAACTCCCCACCTACACTCACCTTTACTGGCCCCATCCCCGCCTCTTCGACCTGTTTGTTTCCTCTCCACCTATCCTCTCCTCTATCCATCTTCTATCCGCCTCCCACTCTCTCCCTATTTATTTCAGAGCCCCCTTCCCCTGCCCCTTTTCTGATGAAGGGTCTAGGCCCGAAACGTCAGCTTTTCTGCTCCTATGATGCTGCTTGGCCTGTTGTGTTCATCCAGCCCTGCACCTTGTGCAGGGTTCTCCAGCATCTGCAGTTCCTACTATCTCTGATTTTATTTTTCACTGGATTGGCTTGCTTAGACTTGCATCTAAGCTGTTGAACAAACAATCAGCTTGAGAGCCATCATTCTCTGGAACAGACTACCAGGCCATCTGTGTTCTAAGGAGAAATTTGTCAAATTGCTGAGTGAAGGACATTTCCAATTATACAGTCATAGAAAGAACACCACAGAAGGTGGTCAATCAACACATTGAGTTTGAGCTTTTGAAGAGTTATTCATCAGTTCTATTCTGCCCTCTTTCCACAGATCCTTACAAATGCTTTATTCCCTCAAAGATTTATCCAATTTCCCTTTGAAAGTTACAATGATTGTCTACTCAAAGCCCTATCAGGCATGCTTTCCAATTTCTAACCACTCATTGTGTTTTCCTGTTCAAAAACACATTCAAACTTTTTTGAATAAGGCTCAGAGAGAAATTTCTGAGAAAAGATTTTCCAGATTTGGCCCAGAGCAGGTGTTAATTGCAAGTGTTAGAGTCAGAATATAGGCTAGCTCTGCTGAAAGCAAAGCCAAACAAAGTAGACATACAGTGAATGGTGGGGAATATATGAAATGCTGGAGATCACACGGGGTCAGGCAACATCCATGCAGAGAGAACAAGCTAAAGTTTCCAGTCTGGATGACTGTTCGTCAGAGGTCCTACAGTGAATGGTGGGGAGGAGGGACAGTAAATCTGGGCTAATGTTTTCAACGTTCAACATGGACTGGCTGAGCACTTTGCTGAACACATCTGCTCAGTCTGCAAGCATAACCCTAACTTTCTGTTTGCTTGCCATTTTGATAGACCATCTTGTACTTCTGCTCACATTTCTGCCCGAGGTGTGCTAGTGTTCCAGCAAATGCAAGCCAGAAAAACAGCACCTCATTTTCCACTTAAACACTTTGTAGCCTTCTAGACACAACACTTGAGTTCAACACTTCATAGCACTTCACTCTGTTGTTTGTTTGTTTCCAGTGCTTCCCAATCCTCCACTTCCCCAACCGTGCCCCAATGTGTCCAGCTTTCTTAGCTTTGCTTTCAGCACAGTTAACCTAGATTCTGCCATTAACAACTACTATCCACTTCTATTCTGGATCTATCTCCCTTTTCTACAACCGTTGCCATTCACTTTGCCTTCTGCTCTATGACACTTGTGACCTCTAATCTGGCTAGCCAACTAATCATTCCTTCTGTTCCACTTGCTCTTCCCCACCTTTTTCTGCAGCATGAAACACACTACTTTCCACCAGTTCCGAAAAAGAGTCATATTGGATTCAATACATTGTCTTATTTCTCTTTCTGGAGATGCTGTCAGGCCTTCTACTCTTGCTTCCTAAATAGGTCATCATCTGTCAGAAAATGGCACAGTGAGAGATGCGCTAATAGCCTATTTTACATGGTCAACCTGATGGTGTCTTTGTGACTCTTCTCTCCACATGTTCTATCATGCTGTCTCCTTGCATAAATGTGCCCTACAAAATCACTTAATCACTGATGAATAAATGCAAAAAATCTTAAAGCAAAGCTCCTCATGTCTAATCCTATTTTCAACTTAGCTGTTGTAATTTGATCAGTTCTTTTCATTACATGATAATTTCATGATCCTAGCTGTGTAGGAATTATCAAATACATTGGAATGATCTTTTCTCTCTACTTCTCTCTCAACTAATTTGGACAGCCAGATGTTGCTCGTCAATTCCCAATATGATTCTGATAGGTTCTGGCATGAAAGTCTTTGATAAAAAGCCTCCATAACCTCTTGCCAAGGCCTGTGATATAGAGGAGGGGACCAATGACTCCAATCCTTTATTCACATCACTAAGCGATGCAGAATCATATGAATACAGGCATAGAGATGTAGAGCATGGCAACAGACCCTTTGGTCCAACTCATCCATGCAGACCAGATATCCTAAATAAATCTAGTCCCATTTGCCAGCATTTGGCCCACATCCCTCGAAACCCTTCCTATTAACGTACCCATTCAGATGTCTTTTAAATGTTGTAATTATACTAGCCTCCACTACTTCCTCTACCAGCTCGTTCCATACATGCACCACTCTCTGCGTGAAAAAGTTGCCCCTTAGGTCCCTTTTAAATCTTTCCTCTCTCGCCTTTAACCTATGCCCTTTTGGACTCCCCCATCCCAGGGAAAAGACCCCTATTTACCCTATCCATGCCCCTCATGATTATATAAATCTCCATAAGGTCTCCGCTTAGCCTCTGATGCTCCAGGGAAAATAGCTTAAACAAAGCAGTGTCCAGAACAGATTCCTGGAAATCTTTGTTTATATCACTTGCAGTCATAAAATGGCACAATCATTTTATCTCTGCTCCCTGTTACAAAGACTTTTCCCAATATTGCTGCCTAATTTACCTTTACAGAGCTTTTAAAGACGTCACATTGAATACTAAATCATGGCTTAACAAAACAGATGTGGTTCTCGTTATACCCATAACTGTATCATTATATTACTTACCACAAAGGGCTCTAATGGGGCATTGCGGTAGTGTTCCTACCTCTGACACTAGAGCACTGAGTTCAAGCCCCAACTGTTTCAGAGGTGTATTATAACATTTCTGAACAAGTTGATCAGAAAATATCCAACACTTTCTATGAATATTATGAGATAAATGTTATAGATTAACATTCCCTATATAGCCAGAAGTGCAAATTAGGAATACGGCCAAAGATGTCAGTTCTCATCGTTTTCCACCTATTAAGGGCATAATGCATAATGGGACTTGATTGTGACTCCAGACCATTAAAAGCATTAGCTCAGCAGAGAGGCCATTGCGAACAGCTGGACTGGTAAATGAGTTGACAGTTGAATGAAAGGATCATGGGGGACATCAAGGGAGAATGGGAAAGGTGAATAATACTTCTGAATTTTTGATAAAGGAAGTGAACTGTTGACTCAGCTTGATTGATACATTTCAGTGGTTATATTCAGTGGTTTTTTTTACTGTAATCTCTTTCCTCAATGTCTCAGTATTTATTTGGACAAAATTAAGAGGTGTGAGGTGTTTGCAGCCCAATTGGTATTTCAATGGTCTGTCTGACTGACACTTTTAAAGGGCTGTAGGAACAGCATTTTCTTTTTCAAAAGATGGTTAGTGAATAGGTGTTTTAGTTTCTCTCATCAGTTCCACACTTGCCATTGTTGGTATTGTGTGGTTTTATATCATTAGTGCATACTGGGTGAATGGCCAAGAAGGGACATGAGTTAATGTGGATAGTAGGAGAGGCCATTGCAAATGGCTAGACTGGTGGATGAGTTGACACTCAGTTGAATGAAAGGATCATGGGGAATATCAAGGAAGAATGGGAGACATGAATAACAATAGTTCTGAATTTACCCTTCAAACATTTTCTAGATTCAGGCTATGATTCACATGTCCTTTGAGATGTGTGTTACATGCATTACAGACATGATGACATTGTCTTGACTCCTTGAAAATTGCAGAGGTCAAGGAGATAGCTAGCCTTGCAATGAAGCCAGACACATCAGGAGTGTAGGATATGGGTTTATTACCCTCACCTTTATCCTTCACCAACTAAACTTAAGATACTAGGGATAGGGGCAGAAACCTGCTGGAATTGATTTATGTATTGTTGGGTAAGTCTATCGAGGGTTACAGCCCCAAAACAACTAAATGGATTTAAGGGACAGATCAGGCATAATCTAACTGGTTGTTAGAACAGCTTCAAGGGACTGAATGACCTACTTTGTTCCGCTGTATCAACTCAGTACATGGTAAATATGTATGAAAGACAACTCAGGCTAGCAGGCATTTCCATGAAAGTATGATTGAGTTGAGAAAGAGTTGAATGTGAAGGAAATATGTTAACAGTCCAGACTGTAACATAAACCATAAATTTCTCCCATGCTATTATTCAACGCTGGCTATGTTGTATTAAGTATCCATTGTACTCAAAACAGGCTTAATGTGTTGAAAAATGCATCAGCAGTAAAGAATGCACATAAAACATGTCCTATAATGGAAACAAACTATAGCCAAATTTCAATTTACTGCAGGACATGTAGCCAAAAACATAAGCATACCGACATATTGAAATCAAACAGCTCAGGCTAGCCTTCACAACTTTTGGATAAGAGACAAGATTCAATAAAACACTTTCTAAAATGGCTTTCAGATCACATACCTGGATAAGAATTTCCATCCATGTCCACTCCTCCTGATATAGACTGGCCAAACATACGCAATATTGGATTGATTGTCTGCCCTGAAATCCTCTAGAGGGAGGAAGAGGCAGCAAGCATTAGAAAAACTGCGCAAGGGAACAGGAAACTTCTCGCATCAGAGGAGACATTAAGCTAGTATCATTTAACGTATCTAATGTTGGAGTTGGCTTGAGACTCCAGTCAAGGATTCTAGACAGCATATCTCTGAGTAAGATGGCTAACATCTCATTTACCAACTTACCTTCTGTCATTACTGAACCCAAGTGCTATAATTACTGCCACAGTGTTGAAGTACTTTCCAATTATATATGGGTGCTTGTCATTCAAAGTCCATGACTCTAAATAGGACAAGGCGACAATTTCAGACACAAATATAAATGTCACCTGTTTGACAGCAGTGATAATACAATGTCTTTTTTAAACTTAATCCATATAAATGCTTTGAAAGCTATAAAGCAGCACATTTACAACTAAATACTCATCTCATCCTGATTAGTAGTTACAATTTGTTTTCAATGCCATTGATTAAATGAAGAAATCAGGTTTGGAATAATTTTGGGAAATCACATTGAGTGCTAAACAAGAAAGTGAGAACAGTTCAGCAATCCATTTTTGCACCAAATTACATTTTCATGCTCATTGACATTAAGCCTACGAAATGTCAAACAAACCGCCGAAACACACACACATGTTTTTTGCCTGGCAAGAAGTGAAACTTAACCCTGTAGTGTGCCTCGCTCGTTCAAACAGTAACATAAATCAGAAACAAATTTTCTCAGAGGATTTCACCAGCTTCAATCAGAATTCACAGAAAAAGGATAATGTCAGCTCTTTCAAACAGCAATCAAGTTAGTCTATCTCTTTATTCTTTTCCCATATCCCTGCAAATATTTTCTCGTCAGGTAAAAAATTTGACGAAATTCATCTCGAAAAGCAACATCGAAGCTGCAGCCACCATCCTATCAGGAAGTGCAATTCAATTCCTAATCACTTTGTGAAAAAATGGTTTCCCTCTTGTTGTCTCAAGTTCTTTCACTAATCACCTTAAATCTGGGACCTCTTGATATTAACTGTTCAGTCAGTAATAACAGTTTGCCTCTATTTACTTCATTCAGGACCACAATCACATCTTATGAAATCTTCGCTTCTGCTCAAAGATGCCCAACCCCACCATCTCTAGTCTGTCTACATTACTGTAATCCCTCAACTCAGAACTATTATCCCAGAACCATTATTATAAATCTCTTCTGTGCTCTCTTCAAAGTTTTACATCCTTCTGAAAATACGACTTCCACACTTAGATCAACTGAGTTTGAACTGCATTCTACATACATTTAGCGTAGCATCCTGGCAAATATCCTGGCTTTTGTACTCTATGCCTCCATGTACAAATCGCATAACTTTTACTAACTGCTATCTTAACTTTCCTATAACTTTCAAATATTTGTGCATGATCACCCCATCCACTATCAAAATATGTATTTAATTTATGTTGTCACTTTTCATTTTTCCCACAAAAATCTATCACCTCACACTTTTCTGCATTGAATTTCATCTGCCATGTCTCTACTCATTCCATCAGCTTGTCTATGTTCTCTTGATACTAAATTTCTAAGCTTCATGTCATTGCAAGTTTTGAAACTGTGCTCAGTGCAGCCAAGTCCAAGTTGTTATACTGAAAACAGCAACAGTCCCAGTCCAGAACCTTGGGGAACTCCAATGTATACATTCAAAAAGATAACTATTCCCCAGCTCTCTGTTTCTGTTCCTTAACTAATTTTATAACCATGATGGTATAGCACCTTTCACCATATGAACTTAATTGTGTTAACAAGGTTAATATGTGGTATTTAATCTAATGCCTTTTAAAGGTCCATGCACTCAGTATCAACTGTACTGCCCTTGTATACAAGGCCTCTGTTTTCAAGTAAATAGAGCCATGTGAAACATTCTCAGAACAAGACACAATTACTTGGATTTGTCATGCCCTAAGGTGGCGGATTAGTCACTGAGGATGCTCACTGTAACAATGCAGACAAGGAGATGAACACTCCCCAGGACTTTAGGGATAGAGAGGGAATAAGGCAACAAGTCTCATCAGCCAGGATGCAGGTAAATGGGAGAGTCTTCCCCAGGGCGTGTTTGACCTAATCTGCTTCCTCTTTCCTTAAGGTAAGGCCCATAATCAAGCTTCCTTCTGGGAGACCTTCATCACAGGAATACAGAGTGTTGCGCACATACGGCTGCAAGTAATTCATCCAAAGGTTAGGTTTGTTCACACATTTTGACACTTCTAAGTGATTACAGAACCAGCAAAATGAAAAATCCTTTATTTAAACTAACAGAGCAAAATGAAAATGTCTTCAATCAATTATCCACATCTCAAAGAGGAAACAGCACTGCCTCCAAAAGAGGAAACAGCGGGCTCCCAAACAGTGGTTTCCAAAAACCGTAACAAGATCATGCACGTCTGGAAAGCTCAATTGGCGTGGATGCAGTGGGCAAAAAAGGTCTTTGTGCGTCTGCTTGTCTCATCAGAGCAGTATCCTTTTGGTGAGTGACCTCCTGACCCACATTATAAGCCTTGATGTTCCCTTCCTTATTGGAAGAGAAGTCTTATTCCTGCATCTCATCCTCTTCCAAGATATTCCCCCTTTCCTGAGTAAGGGCACAGAACACCATGAAAATGCAGAACCCTCTCTATGGTGTACATTGCAGGACACTACCTGAGCAGTCAACGCATTGGAATCTCTCTTGCTGAGCAGTCCTGTGATTTGTTCAACAATGGTCCTTATAGAATAATGTTGTACTTATCCTTGATATCAGTCTGCGGATTCCTGACTGGTGTCATAACTCTGAATTTGAGGGGGTAATCCCTGCATGTAGGCAGCGCTGCAGCCAATGAGGGGCTTTAAAAACATTAGGAACCTATGAGTGCTCCAGAATACAGGAGTTTGACTAGATAACGTGTGCAGCTGTAGAATATTTGAATGGCAAGGTCACAGATGACTGTACGTTAAGGAAGTAGACACCCTTCCTATTGATAAATACAGGTGGCTGATGCAGTATAGCTACAATGATCAGGTCTTGTACTTGTGGGAAATGTACTGTAACAGAAAGCCTCACCACCTGACTCCAAGGGAAAGAATACAAATTCACGCACTTTAGCAAATAGATCATCAGTCACCTCCCAGCTCCATTTGGAAATGGCCCGACTGTATAACTCCCCAGAGCTCCC